TTCACCTAATTTCTCTTCTTTTTTGTCACTGACATTTTAGATTACTGACAGACCATTCCTTTAGTTTAAATGTGTATTATTCCAAGTGATACAGGCACATAGTAGGCATTCACTAAACACTTGTTATATAAATGACCTCAGTTTACCATGCTAACTATATAGGTTACTACTGAAATTATTTTGGCTTCTACTTCAATTTTTCAGGTATTCAAGGGATTTTGCTGAGCTTCTCAGCCTCAATGTGATTAATGAAATTTCTAAGCATGTTAAAATTGGAGCTATCAAGTATCTTAGGTCTGAAATGAGGGCATTGTTGACTGAGTATGCTTATGTTTCCTCTGACTGAGGCCAGATGTAACAAATAGACTCTCTTAACATGGTTTAAAGTTTCTTATTGAAGATACTTTGAATTGAACATGTAGGCACATAATAATGTGTTTCATGCACTTAGGCAAGTATTTATGTCCATATTTTAATTTTAAGTTTTGAGTCTTTAGTTTTCATAAATCAATGGATATGTACAACATTCTTCAGGTTTCTGCTTTGTTTCTATGATGTGGTTCTTTATACCTATATAAATATCCCAATTCAATTGTTTCAGTGGGATTTCTCAAGTATCTGTTTTGCTTTTGAAATAATGAGTCATGATCATATTTGAATGCATTTTAGGTATCAATAATGTATACCAGGAGTTTGAAGATATTGCTGATTAGATTATGTCTTTTTGTTTTTGTATGAAAGATCCCAAAAACTAACTTTTGTATGTCCTTGATGATGAAGGTGTAAACTGTGCCTAGGCAAACCAGGGATGAAGGCTTAGGGAAGAGAACCCATATCATACCTCATTAGGTTATTGTTGTCATAGAGACAAAGCTATGTTTACCCAGACCTTTTACAGTGTAAATGGTCAGCCAAAACTGGAGAGATTTGCAGAGATACAGAGGAAAAGCAAAATTATATGCTTTTGCCAACCATACTCTGATTACACAACATATTTTGGGAACTGCTGGTTTTGAAACTTCTTCCAGTCCTTGTGGTTAAAAGTTGGAAGATGGTTACCCATTAAAGGTGAATTTGTTTGGAGACATCAAAATCATTTGGAACTAAATATGTGGAATAAAATAAGTATAATTTTTTCCTTTGATTTAAACCTGTTTGGGACTAGTAAATAATTAGTTACTTGTCTGGCTCCAAAGGGAGTTCAAAAGTTCAAAGGCAGTTCCATTGACAGCATTGCAGCATTGTTGGAAATGAATATTTGTTAAATTTGCTGAATAGTCAGGTAACCTCCCTAGGTGACAGTTTTGAAGAACAGTGGTCTTTTGAATATTTAAGACTTGATATGTTTGTTTTAAAAACATGTAGTCCCACCAGGCCTAGCATGCTACCAGTAGGGGGTGCCAAACACAGAACTTCAGGAGGTCCTAAAGAGACTTTGCAATAGCCCTTGAGGTATAGCCATTATACGCCTAGAAGAAGCTGATATTTTAACAAAAGTATTGTAATTGCTTGTTGACCTTCCTCAGTTTTTTTAAGGGGGTTATATTTTAGAAGTTGGAGACCATGGTTTGGAGAGGCTAGTCCTGGAAGTCATGACTGTTTAAGCATCTCAAGCGGTTGCATCCTTGTGGATGCAAAACAGACTTGGGCTCTCTTATAACATTAACTTTTCCATCGGTTTCCTCATTTGAAGAGTCTACTTTTCAAACAAAGCTCTGGTTACAAGAATCAGAAAAGCACCCACGTTAAGTTCAGAAAATTGGGTGAGAAGAAAATAGGGCTTATTCTGCAGAAAAAGAAATAAAGCTTTGCCAGGCCTCATTGGGACTGCAGCCAAAGGACCCCACTGAGGTAAATACTTTCCTGGCATCTTGTCTCTGCCCTTCCCTATATGGCCACATTTTTGTAAAGATGGAGTCTCACTTTGTTGCCCTAAATTGAAGCCTAAATTGAAACTCCTTGCTTCAAGCAATCCTCCCATCTGAGCCTCCCAAATTGCTGAAATTACAGGCATGAGCCACTGTGTCCCACTGTTTTTTTTTTAAGGTGACGAGTGTGTGCTAAAATTGATTGAGGTGATGATTGCACAACTCTATAATTAAATTGTATACTTCACATGGGTAGATTGTATGTATGTGAATTATATCTTGATAAAGCTGCGTGATTCTTTTAAGTCATTGTCTTTAAGTGATGAATGTTAGTGATCTGCATGTAGTGCTAGTGATTCCCCTGCCCACCCCTGGTGGTCTTTCCACTGGTTGGTCCCTTTCCCTGGAACACTGTGCCTCCCAGTGTTTGCACACAAGTTACTTTCTCACTGAAGTCTAAAATTGCAAACTTGCCTTTGGCTGGCACTTCTTAGCCTGCTCTACTTTTCCTTTTCACCATAGTATGTATCACTTCCTGACATAATATATAATTTACTCATTTATTTTGTTAATCATTGATTGTCACACACACGAACACACACACACACCCCAAGGTAACATGTAACCTTCATGAAAACAGGCATGAATGTTTTGGTCACTGATGTATCACAAAGGCTTGGAACAGATGCCTGGCATATAGTAGGTGCCAAATTATGTAAAACATCTCCTTCTAAAATTATCTTCTATCCAAACCGTTTACTCCATACGTACATTGTTGCCTGAAATACTTTAAGGAATAAAATTAAAATCATTACTGATTACCAGATATAAAACCCAGTGTTCTCTAGGCCTGTAAAGCATTATTTCAGGGGAAATAAGAAAGGTATTTTTTTCATCATTTGTCATTTATTCAGTAAATAGTTATAAACCATATGCAACACCTTTGTCCTCAGAGGCAGCGTGGACCAGCAGGAAGAGCACTGGTGAGTCCTGAGATCTGGATTCAGACTTCAGTCATGAACCGGCTGCATACTTTTGGCAGATGCATATTTCCTAAGACGTTGGCTGCCCTATTTATACAATTAGTGGTTATACTAGCTCTAACCTTTTATTATCCTACTACAGGTATTTGATTTCTTTTAACTTTGACATGTAAAAATTACTTTAAAATCATGTCATTATTCTACAATTTGATTATTTACTATTTGACACTAAAGTACTTAAGATCTTATTTGCCTCTTCCATACCAACGCACACACACACACACACACAGGCATGGCATGTGCATATTTCAAAGGTGCATAATGCTTAAGAGCAGAGTTTGGCCCTACTCTGTAAATGTGTTCAGAAAACAATATAACACAGATACCAAAGGCAGCTTGTTTTTAACTTGTAGCTAAACATGACATTCAAATGTTAATTGGATGAATAAATCTTGTTCATTTTACAGACATGGAAATGTCAATGGAATAAAACTATTTATCACACGATAATGGTCTCCTGCCGCCAGATAAATGCCAAGATGAAGATACTTATTGAAAATGTATCAAAATATTCTATTGCTATTTATTGAAAATAAAGGTTGAGGAAAAGTTCAACTTTTATGTGAAACATGAGAAATGCCCTGCTTATGATATTAGTATGTTACTATATCAAAGATGATATGAGTGATATCTCAACATGGGAAAATTCTAAGAAATCACGTCTAGAAATGAATCTTTCAGCTTTGAGAATTATGGGAATAATTGTATGAGGACTGGAAAAAGATTCCTAATATTTATTGAGCTCTTATTGTGTGCCTAACACAGTCCTGCGTGCGTTCACTAATGTAAGCCTCAAAAGAACAATACTCAGAAAGGATTATTATTCTGATTTTGTGGTTAAAGTTAAAAGCAAAATAATTTGCAGTCATATAGAACTAAGTGCCAACCCCAGGATTTAAACTTAGTCCAAACTCCAAATCTAGTGCTTTTTCCCAACACCATACATTTCTACTGATACTTGAAAGTCTGAATACAGTGATTTTTGGAGCTCTTGAGTAGATTATTTCCCTTAAGCTTTGTTGCCCTTGATGATCAAATACTTCTTTGGTCTAAATATTCAGTATATTGCTGTGTGAAATATTTTTAAGTGGTATCATCCATTAGCCCAAAAGAGCACACCTATAAGTCTTGAGGGCTTTATAGCTCTGAATGGACCAAGTTGTACTGGATTCTAGTATTAAGACACCTTCTTTCCAGCAGGATGTAGTTTGAAATCTTTAGGTGACTTCCTCTTTCTGCTTTCTTTTTAAAACTTAGATACCTATTTTTCTACTTTACTTATCTTGTGTATATTATAAGTGCCATAGTGGTCTTCATAAAATACATCATTTGGGTGGATACAGATGGATAATTGAAACAACTTAAAGAGCATTATTGTTCAATAAACCTTTTACTGCCCTCTTCATGCCAACTCTGTTCTCCTGTCCATTGACCCCAAGAATCTGTTTCTCCACCTGCCATAGACACCAAGTGTTAATAACTCTCTTCCTTAGACCATCAGTGAGCTTTAATCTTCTTCAGCCAGAGACCACTCTACTATAATATACTTATGGTTTTCTTAGTAGATGATAGGCTCTTTACTAGGAGAAATTGTGCATTTTGCTTCTCTCTATTCTCCATGGTAACTGATGAAGTGATTTGGAAATTATAAATACCCTACAAGAATGTGAAAGATGCATGGGTATGGCTTCTTTGTTTTAAGGACTAGAGGAAGTACAAAGGATTCAGAGTATTCATAGTTCACTTTTGTGAATATGGGAGACTGTTTGTCTGTTCCTTTGCCTGTGCTTGTATCTATCAGTTCTCTCTAAAACACATTTGGATTTTATTTATTTTGCAAAATTCCTAGAGGCAATGAATGAACAGATAATTTAAATGCTAGATGGATACAAAGCTGAGAAGCTTGAATGTTTAAATTTCCCTCAGGAAGAAAATAGTAATTCATATAGCACTCTCTTGATATATAAATAGCATGTGCACTGAAGATCTTTCTAAAAGTCATGATATTCTTCCAGGAGTTTTAGATTGACACCAAGTACCATTGTGTCACATGAATTACTAACTCAGTCTTTACCATGCACTTTCACAGATGGGAGACCTTTAACTCTGAAGGACATATGGGAAGGAGTTCATGAGTGCTATAAGACGCGACTGCTACAGGGACCATGGGAAACTATTACACAACAGGTTGGAGAGCATTGTCATTTTATCATATGCATTTTATTGTATTCTTTCCCTCTGCTCATCTTTTCTTCTGGTTCCCTCTCCCCAACTCTTTTCCCTATTCCACTCCTCTATGTCCTTACATATTTCACCTCACAGACAGTTTCCTTAAAAATACTTTCCCAGACCCAGTCTTGGTTTAGCCTCCCTATTATAAGCTCTCATTGTGCCCTATAATTTTCCTTTAGAATATATATTTTAATTTTAATTACATATTAGAATGATTTTTAAAAAATCATTTGAGACCTATTTATTCCACCATACAGATACTCTTTCACTTATAGTGGGGATACATCCTGATAAACCCATCGTAAGTTGAAAATATCTTAAGTAGAAAATACATTTAATACACCTAACCTACTGAACATCATAGCTTAGCCTAGCCTACCTTAAATGTGCTCAGGACACTTACATGCAATTGGACAAAATCATCTAACACAAAGCCTTTTTTATAATAAAATGTTGAATAGCTCCATGTGATTTATTAAATACTTTATTGAAAGTGAAAAACAGAATGGTTGTATGGTATCAAGGTATGGTTTCTCTTGAAGGTGTATCACTTTTGCACCATTATAAAGTGTCACAATTGTTAAGTTGACCCATCCTAAGTCTGGGATTGTCTGTACTGTGAGCTCTGACATAGACAGACCATGTCGCTTTTATTCTTCATTGTACATACAGCACCAGCACAATACTTATCATGTAGTAAGTGCTCAATAAAAATGTATTAAGCAAATGAAAATAGAAACTAAGTTGGCTTATATACTAAGAAATAGATGATTAGGCTTATGTAATCTATACTGTTTTACAGTTTTACTCATGGATGCATTTGCAAAAAAGAAGAGCTTTTGATTAATATGTCTGCAATAGTGATTTGGAAAAGTAGAGAAAATAGATCTGCAAAAGTAGATATAAAAAGTCGATTTGCAAAAGTAGAGAAAATAGATCTGTCAATCAAATAAGTCATTATTACTGCCTTGCTAAAATCAACAGTTATTTTGAAATTTAAAAATACTCATCACCTTGCAACCAATCATGATCTCCTTAAATATAATTTTTACTTATATCAAAAATCTAATTTTTCCACACTCCTGTTAAGCTTAATGAAAGCTTCCTTTAAAAATGACTTTATCAGTTATTAGAATTTTTATGCCCTCTTATGTGTTTGATCATAATGACAGTTTACCTCCCAATCTACATAATAATCCTCAGCATCTCATAAGTAGTTCTTTAATAATGACCATTTTCTAGGTTTTAATTGAGGACAAAACTAGCTTTAAGTATTTGTATATTTCACACTGCCCCCCTCAAATTAATCTTTTCTCTTCCCACTATCACCTCTTAAATCAGGCCCTCTGACCTCATGTGGAACAATTAGTAAAGCTTATCTATGGTCTTCTGTTCCTTTCCTCTCTGCCCCTTACCTGTAGTCACATCTTTTTAACCACTGTTACACTTATCTTAACTGTGCTCAAACCTGCAGTAGTTCTCTGAGGGCCTATGGGATGTGGTCTAAATGCCTTGCCTGGGCATCAGAGGTTGCCACTCCCTGGCTCCAACCTACTCTTCTAAGTTTATCTTTTACCTCTTCACTCTTCACAGCTCATGCCAAACATGGTTATTATTCATCTCTCTATACTCCTCTTTTGTAGTTTGTTCTTGGAATTTTTTCTAGATATTATGCTTTCCCTCATTTTTCTGTATGCATTACCTGTTACTACCTGTGCTCTCATAAATTTCCTTCTCTGAAACCACCTCAACTCACAAAAATGGCCCCTCTGAAATCCAAGTCTGTAGACCAGGTAATGGTGGTTGCTATGAAGAAGGGTAATGTGAAATATGAGCAAACCAACCCTAAAAGATTTGGCAAGAACATTTTATTTTACGCAAACTATTTTAGATTAACCTTTAAGTATGTCAAGATGAGTGCTAAGAGTTCCAACTTCTAGTATCTTGTCAATGGCCACAAACTGTACAAAAATTTATATTGTAGAGTCCTTGTCCACAGGGCCCAGAAACTGTTTGGTTGTAAGGGTCAAGAAAGATGGCAAAAGATACAGGAAAAGAGTATTCAAAAATATATGGGTATTTAACTTTATACCCATTTATCAACTCTTTCTCAATTCCATTTTACTCTTGAATCCAATTCTTATCATTTTCCTTTTCCGTCTCTAGCAGAAAATTAATCTCTTCAATGTAGCACCTATATATAGCACCATTTCTAGTGATCTGTGACATTTTTATTTTAATTCTGTGTGTCTCGGTTCTGACCCATGACATAAGAATAAGATTTTGATACAATTTTGCCATAGATTTCTTTCCATTGATAGAACTCTTTTTTTTTTTTTCTATTTCTGCATTCTCAATTATTTTCTTTTTTTTAATTGCATTTTATGTTTTGGGGTACATGTGCAGAATATGCAAGATAGTTGCATAGGAACACACGTGGCAGTGTGCTTTGCTGCCTTCCTCCCCCTCACCCACATCTGGCATTTCTCCCCATGCTATCCTTCCCCAGACTGCCTCCCCCCACTGCCCCTCCCCTATTTTCCCCAATAGACCCCAGTGTGAGGTGCTCCCTTCCCTGTGTCCATGTGTTCTCATTGTTCATCACCCGCCTATGAGTGAGAATATGCAGTATTTCATTTTCTGTTCTTGTGTCAGTTTGCTGAGAATGATGTTCTCCAGATTCATCCATGTCCCTACAAAGGACATGAACTCATCATTTCTGATTGCTGCATAATATTCCATGGTGTATATGTGCCACATTTTCCCAGTCCAGTCTATCATCGATGGGCATTTGGGTTGGTTCCAGGTCTTTGCTATTGTAAACAGTGCTGCAATGAACATTCGTGTGCATGTGTCCTTACAGTAGACCGATTTATAGTCCTTTGGATATATACCCAGTAATGGGATTGCTGGGTCAAATGGAATTTCTATTTCTAGGTCCTTGAGGAATCGCCACACTGTCTTCCACAATGGTTGAACTAATTTACACTCCCACCAGCAGTGTAAAAGTGTTCCTATTTCTCCACATCCTCTCCAGCATCTGTTGTCTCCAGATTTTTTAATGATCGCCATTCTAACTGGCATGAAATGGTATCTCAATGTAGTTTTGATTTGCCTTTCTCTGATGACCAGTGATGATGAGCATTTTTTCATATGTTTGTTGGCCTCATGTATGTCTTCTTTTGTAAATGTCTATTCATATCCTTTGCCCAATTTTGAATGGGCTTGTTCATTTTTTTCTTGTAAATCTGTTTGAGTTCTTTGTAAATTCTGGATATCGGCCCTTTGTCAGATGGGTAAACTGCAAAAATTTTTTCCCATCCTGTTGGTTGCCGATTCACTCTAGTGACTGTTTCTTTTGCCGTGCAGAAGCTGTGGAGTTTGATTAGGTCCCATTTGTCTATTTTGTCTTTTGTTGCCAATGCTTTTGGTGTTTTGGTCATGAAGTCCTTGCCTACTCCTATGTCCTGAATGGTTTTGCCTAGATTTTCTTCTAGGGTTTTTATGGTGCCAGGTCTTATGTTTAAGTCTTTAATCCATCTGGAGTTAATTTTAGGGTAAGGTGTCAGGAAGGGGTCCAGTTTCTGCTTTCTGCACATGGCTAGCCAGTTTTCCCAACATCATTTATTAAACAGGGAATCCTTTCCCCATTGCTTGTTTTTGTCAGGTTTATCAAAGATTGTATGGTTGTAGATATGTTGTGTTGCCTCTGATGCCTCTGTTCTGTTCCATTGGTCTATATCTCTGTTTTGGTACCAGTACCATGTTGTTTTGATTACTGTAGCCTTATAGTATAGTTTGAAGTCCAGTAGTGTGATGCCTCCTGCTGTGTTCTTTTTGCTTAGAATTGACTTGGCTATGCAGGTTCCCTTTTGGTTCCAATATGAAGTTCAAGGGGGTATTTTCGAGTTCTGTGAAGAAAGTCAATGGTAGCTTGATGGGGATAGCATTGAGTCTATAATATAATTACTTTGGGCAGTATGGCCATTTTCACGATATTGAGTCTTCCTAACCATGAACATGGAATGTTTCTCCATCTGTTTGTGTCCTCTCTTATTTCGTTAAGCAGTGGTTTGTAGTTTTCCTTGAAGAGGTCCCTTACGTTCCTTGTAAGTTATATTCCTAGGTATTTTATTCTCTTTGTAGCAATTGTGAATGGCAGTTCATTCTTGATTTGGCTCTCTTTAAGTCTGTTATTGGTGTATAGGAATGCTTGTGATTTTTGCCCATTGATTTTATATCCTGAGACTTTGCTGAAGTTGCTTATCAGTTTCAGGAGTTTTTGTGCTGAGATGATGGGGTCTTCTAGATATACTATCATGTCATCTGCAAATAGAGACAAATTGCAGAGGGTGAGTGGACGCTGCATTTCCAGATGGATCTTTATTGCCCACAGACCAGGAGATTCCCAGGTCTAGGAGCCCTACGGGCCGCCAGCGCGGCAATTTGGGCCAGCGCGGCTGTTTGGGCCGGGGCCGCAGTGCAGTGGCACTCTGTAAAAAATACACTGGTTTGCTTACCCTGTTAAACTGGCAATTGGAGATTTTGGAAGGCAGATTAGCACATTCATCTGATTAAACGGGACTTAAACAGAAAGCCAGGCCAGGAGATTCCCGTGCAACAACGTTGTTTGAGCTGGTGCAGTGGGTCGCTGCACGGGAAATCACACAGATCCCGGCAACCTTGCAGCAGGTGACTTGAACACCTGGGAGAGAGTCAACCATTCAACTTAAAAAAAATAAAAAAAGGGCTCTGAGGCAGGGAGCCAGGTGATCAGGCTTGGCGGGTTCCACCCCCACAAAAACAAACAAAACAGTAATTGGAAACGCTCGGGGTTGAGAGTTTCACAGCAAGCACAGCTGAACCCAGGACAGTGGAGCTCGGTGGGGGAGGGGCGTCCACCATTACCGAGGCACTCGACCCCTACGGAGGTACTCTGCCATTGCTGACGCAGC